AAAAAAAAAAAAAAAAAGAAAGACACCTGCATTGTTTTTACCTAGCGAGCAGTTGCTTTGCATCCTCCCGTCTGTTGAACAACGTAACATGGTGCCAACTACACGGCCTCCCACGACAATGACACGTACATCCCGTCCATGAGACTCTTTAATATACTTCTGGAACAGGTATGGAGCTTCATGGCGAATAAGATGGCTTAGATCAGCCAAATGGTGCTTATCTCGAGCCAAGAAAACAGCTTTGCCTGTGATTGAAAAAGAATAAAAAATATATGTAAGACATCAAACTGTGGGTGATTGATATCTATTACCTGCATCTTCTTGTGTCCCAATATGCTTTCAGAACCAATTAATTTTTAGCCAAAGTAATACAGTGATGGTAATTAGTGAGACAATACAAAAGTGTATATAAAGACAAAGTTAATAATCTCCTTCTACCACTTCCTCAATCCCCAAACGCTTACAACAGTAATCTAGAATTTCTTTCAGTAAATGTTGTGAGGAATGGGTCTAAGATTTGTATTCCTCCAGGTTAGCTAATGCCAGCCTCACCTATTAGCAAAACATTTCCCTCTGAGTTAAAACATGCCTTCTACAGCAATATACTATATTTGTATATGGTAAACTAGCATATGTTACTATAGACCTAGTTTTATTTCTGAATTCCCTAGTCTGTTCTATTGCTCTATCAATTTTTGTGCCAACACAAGTGGCTGTTTTTACAACATGGTTATAAATCCTTTTACTTTCTTCCCATCAAGAGGAGGGGGAATCTATGCCCCATTCATTGGAATCTAGGAGGGCTTGTAATTGCTTCAACCAACAGAATTCAGCAGAAGCAATTCTCCATGACTTCTGAGCGTAGGTCATAAAAGGTCACACAGCTTCTTTGTTCACTGGAGCCTTCACTGTAGGAACCCTGAGACTTCTTAGTTGTCTTACTGGAGAAGCCAAAAATAAACAGTGCAGTCAACAGTTCCAGGTGAACCCTGATCCAGCTATCGCTGTCAAGGTACTAAACCTTGTGAAGTACTTGGATTTATGAATGATTTCATCCCTTAAGAAATCCACCCTTGACTGGCCCCGTGGTTTACCAGTTAAGTGTGTGCGCTCCGCTACTGGCGGCCCAGTTCGGATCCCGGGCGCGCACCTACACACCGCTTCTCCGGCCATGCTGAGGCCGCGTCCCACATACAGCAACTAGAAGGATGTGCAACTATGACGTACAACTATCTACTGGGGCTTTGGGGAAAAAGAAGGAGGAGGATTGGCAATAGATGTTAGCTCAAAGCCGGTCTTCCTTAGCAAAAAGAGGAGGATTAGCACAGATGTTAGCTCAGGGCTGATCTTCCTCACAAAAAAAAAAAAAAAGAAAGAAAGAAATCCACCCTTAATCTGAAGTCATTAAGATATTTTTATAAACTGTCTTCTAAAGCTTTATAGTTTTGCCTTATAATTTAAGCCTTCAAAGTACATAAAGTGGCAGGGGGATGACTGGGGTTAGTTATCTAAGGTCCTTGCGTTGTTGGCGAGGAAGATAAAGATATTAACTTGAGACTCAGTCTAAATTAAGCGTTCATCTTAAAATCTCTGGGATAACCACTAAAGGAACAGAAATAACTTCTAGCCAAACTGAACAACTCACTGTAGCCTTCTTGTTTGAGGTATCACGCACCTAACAATTTCGCTCTAATTATTGTTGAGAAGCCCTGCTTCAAACACTATGAGTTTCAATTGACAAGACTACTGTCTAGTCAACAAACATGAGAAAATACAAAGAAAATAATAGTTGCTTTGATCTGATTAAGAAAAAAATCTATTTTGTATAATCACCCTTATTAATTCAAGAGTAATTTCAAAATATGTGCCACAGCAACAACTCATACACACCTCTATGACCCCGTGTATTCTTCACTACCATTGGGAACTCCAATACTTCTGCTTCATCAATCATTTTAGCAAAATTTTCATGACCACCTGGTTTGAGCAAAAAAAGAAATTTAAGAAAAAAAGCAACAGAGGTGTTTTGTGATAAATTTTATCTACACTAAAGTCAGCAACACAAGGGAGGCAGAAGGTAAGAACCTGATGGCTAAATTTTGTTTTCCTTGGAGAAAGAAATAAACAAAAAGTTGAAAGTACAGTTAAATGTCAGTTTAAGACAAACACACCTTTAAAAATGAGTGAAAGCTATCTTAACCTATAAATATTCTAATATCCAACTTAAAGAAATTAAATATCTGTCAGCTAAAACAAAGTTTCCTAATTCCATACAATTTTTCATATTTTTATCCCTTATTCCTCCACCACACAAATAATAGAAGCCCCAAGATCTACTTTAGCATATTCAACTCCCATTTGGATTAAGAAACAGAAATATGAGTCAGCTGAGAAGACTCATCCAAAGTTGAAAAGATGCTGCAGGCACACACACTCTCTCTCATCAAACACACAAATTTTCTTATCTCCATTATAATAAGAGTTCTTTGTCTACACTGAGTCACTCGGTACCCATGGGTTAAGTCTTGCTTCTGACTGTTTTTATTGCCCAGGAACAAATGATACAGTAGCAAGATTAGAGCAAAAACAGACTGTAGGTGTAAAAAATCAGCATGATGATATAGTAAAATTAAACCAGGAAAAGTTCATTAAGCAACTGCAATAACATAAATTTGTAGCTTAGAGAAATTAAGATGATTCAGTCCTCAAATTTTAAACCTTCAACATTAGAGCACAGGTAATATTTGTAATTTAGTTAACTCTTTTCTCCTTTCCATTCTCTTAAAATCAGAATTGTAGACCCATGATATAAGTTACAATATCCCAAAAGCATCAGGAAGACAGAATTCTCAAACTATTCATATAGTCTCTTCTATGTAGTTGCTAAAAACAATAATTGTATATACACATGCAATACGGAGGGGAGTTCCCTTCTTTAACATATTAAAAATAAGAGGGCAGAGATTTCTTTTTAAAGCCTCATTAACTTTCCAAGCATTCTACTGTACATTTGGAGAAATATCTTTATGATAAACTGTACTGATTTATAGTAAGTCCGACCTTTTCTAAACTAGAACTACTAGAAAGACAGGAAATTTATTAACATAATATTGTTCATAGCAGTGCTACTCAAAATGTGGTCCTGTGACTGTGACTTCTTTGCTATTGATATGTGATCAGATAAATACAAAGAGTAAGCACTAGAAGGTTTTATAGCAATCTGACATTCCTGTGATATTTTTACTATACTTTATGAAAGAGCATTGATTTATAGCACATTGGTCTTTAAAAAAAAAAATGATCCTTTACCATAGATAGTTTTAGAAGCACTGGTTTAAGGCATACCTAAGTAGAGTGTCATTTTCTTAAATGAATAAGAAGATATTTATGAAAAATTATCATGAAAATGGTAATGAAGGTAATCAGAAATAAAACAGAGATGTCATCAAATTCCATTATCTTTTACCTCAGAGGTTGGCAAACTAAGGCCTGTGAGGCAGATTTGGCCCACTGCCTTTTTCTGTAATCAAGTTTTACTGGAACACAGCCACGCTCATTTGTTTAAGCATTGTCTATAACAGCTTTCACACCATAACAGCATTACTGAGGGTCAAAAGAGAGAACTAATGGCCTGGAAAGCCCAGAATATTTACTATTTATTTGGTCCTTTACAGGAAAAGTGTGCTAAGTCCATTCTACCCATAGCATGGAACTAAATCTTAAGACATGATTCATAATTCTCCCGTCCAGTTTACTGAAATTAAAAGTCACTCGGGGCTGGCCCGGTGGCATAGCGGTTAAGTTGCACATTCCACTTCAGTGGTCCAGGGTTTACAGGTTCAGATCCCAGGCGCAGACCTACTCAGTGCTCATCAGCCATGGTGAGGCGGCGTCCCACACAGAAGAGCTACAACTCTACAACTACGATACACAAGTGTACTAGGGGCTTTGGGGAGGAAGAAAAAAAAGAAAAAGAGGAAGATTGGCAACAGACGTTAGTGCAGGGTCAATCTTCCTCAAAAAAAATTAAATTAAATTAAAGTCACTTCTATAAGAAGTTCTTTCATGTTCACAAATTTCCTTTTATCACATAACTAATAATTTAGTACATCTCTAAAAACTATCATTGTTCTAAAACTTAAGTTATAAATTCTTTTTAGTGAACTCACCATAAGAGAAAGTATCTGGCAGAGGAACACCATGGCCAGCCAACTCTTGAAACGTCCAGAACTTATTAACGCAGTTCAGGATGGCTTGAGGTCGGTTCATCAACCGGCATCCCATCTTCTCTAGATGGCGCAAAACAGTGATGTCACTATCACTCTGCACCCAAGGAGTTGGTACTCTCACTACCACCACCTGGGGGTAGGCAGTAATTAGTTCTCCATTGATCCGTAGACCTGAAATATACAGGAATGAAGCCAAATCCATTAAAAGGGAATAAACAATAAAATAGAGGAACAGAAATATACCAAAGCTTGGGTCACAAAACCAAATGTACTATTTTGTTAACATTTCATTAGGACAGACATTCCTCCTTAAATTATATCCCTTTGTAAGAAGAAAGAAAATTTTAGCAGAAAAATTTCTGCACTGGTTAAATAAATTATGATATATGTCAATACAATGAAATACTACATAGCCATTATTAGAATGTCATAAATCTCTATGTTCAGAGATGGAAAAAACATCCAGATACATAAAGTTAAAAAAAAAAGATGCAAATCTGAGAATAAGTTTTATTTGTCTTTACATATGCATAGAAAATGCATGAAAGGATAAAAGATGAAAGTGGCTTTCTCTGAGTGTGAGTGGGTGACAAGGAAGGAAGAGAAAGGTAGAATGGGGAACTTGAACATTTTGCTCCATGCAATTCTCTATCTTCTTTATATTTTCCTTTTAAGGGAGAATATATGCTTTTATAATGAGAATAGAAAAATTTAAAAAGAGAAGTTTCTTGGGCTGGCCCAGTGGCGTAGTGGTTGAGTTCACGCGCTCCGCTTTGGCGGCCTGGGGTTTGCAGGTTCCAATCCCGGGCGCGGAACGACACACCACTTGTCAAGCCATGCTGTGGTGGTGTCCCACATAAAGTAGAGGAAGATGGGCAGGGATGTTAGCCCACGGCCAATCTTCCTCAGCAAAAAGAGGACGATTGGCAATGGATGTCAGTTCAGGGCTAACCTTCCTCACAAAAAAATAAATAAATAAAAAAAAGAAAAAGAAAAGTTTCTTAAATTTTATCACATACTACTCTATTTCAAGAGGTCCCAAATAATAAAGGAACAAGGTATTTATGAGTTACTCCTTAAAACTTATTTTCATTAAAAAAATAGTATATACACATTTGTTTAAAATATTCAAATACAAATATATATAACATATTCATCTCCCATACAACACCACAGGTACTTTGTGTAAATAGTATATATTTTCCCCATTGTTATCTAAGTATAGAAAAATATGTAGATAATTTTTAGAAAAATGAGATATTTTTTTGGGCCGGCCCTGTGGCTTAGCGGTTAAGTGCGTGTGCTCCACTGCTGGCGGCCCGGGTTCGGATCCCGGGCGCGCACCACTTCTCTGGCCATGCTGGGGCCGCGTCCCACATTCAGCAGCTGGAAGGATGTGCAGCTATGACATACAACTATCTACTGGGGCTTTGGGGGGAAAAAATAAATAAATAAAATCTTTAAAAAAAAAAAGAAAAATGAGATATTTTATATTCATATTATGTCACTTTCTCTCATCACTTAAAATTATACCAGAGACATCTGTCTACGTCAGGGCATATATAGCTTTATTTCTTTCTTTTTTAGTGGGCTGAATGGAACTATATTTTATAGATATACCATATGATCAATCCTTCACTCATGGACATTCACTCATTTGATAAATATTAAGCAGTCACTATGTCTCGGACTCTTTTCCAGCAGTTGGAAACAGATGGCTAAAGAAGGCAGATAAGCTCCTTGCTCTCAAGCTTTCATTCTAGCAGGAGAGACAGACATTCTATGTATTAATTTTTATGAGATTGGCTTTTACACATGGCAGAAGTTCTGATACAGGAGAGACCAGTAAGGCAGAGGTAATAGCCGAATTAAGGTGTAAGCCTTGAGGCCTGTGTGTGTTTAAAGAAAAGAAAGAGAACGCTTCAGATGCAAGGGAGCAGCAGAAGACACAGGGGAAAAAGAGCAACATGAACAGCGTGTGCCTCAACTGCAGTTTGTACTGATGTAACGTAAAAGATAAGGTTGGTCAGTTACGGTGTCAAATATGCAAAGCCACAAATTTTTATTGAGATATGACTGACATATAACATTGTATTTGTTTTAGGTGTACAACATAATGATTTGATATATGTATATATTGTGAAATGATTATCACAATAAGTTTAGTTAACATTCATCATCTCACAAAATTACAAATTTTTTTTCTTGTGATGAGAACTTTTAAGATTTAATCTCTTAGCAACTTTCAAGTATACAATACAGTATTGTTAACTATAGTCACCATGCTGTATATTACATCCCCGGAACTTATTTATCCTGTACATGGAAGTTTGTACCTTTGGACCAACATCTCCTCATTTCCCTCACCCTATACCTCCCACCCTCTGGCAACTACCAGACTGTTTTCTGTATCTATGAGTTTGATTTTTTTTTTTTGGGGGGTTCCACATATAAGTGAGATCATACAGTGTTTGTCTTTGTCTGACTTATTTCACTTAGTATAATGCCCTAAAGGTCCATCCATGTCACAAATGGCTTTTTTATGGCTGAATAATATTCCATTGTGTATAAATACCACATTTTCTTTATCCATTCATCTGCTGATGGTCACTTAGGTTATTTCCACGTGTTAGCTATTGTAAATAATGCTGCAATGAACATGGGGGTGCAGATATATCTTTGAGATAGTGATTTCATTTCCTTTAGGTAAACTCTCAGAAGTGGAATTGCTAGATCCACATATTCTTTTTTTTTTAATTTATTTATTTTTTCCCCCAAAGCCCCAGTAGATAGTTGTATGTCATAGGTGCACATCCTTCCAGCTGCTGCATGTGGGACACGGCCTCAGCATGGCCGGAGAAGCGGTGCATTGGTGTGTGCCCGGGATCCGCACCTGGGCCGCCAGCAGCAGAGCGTGCGCACTTAACTGCTAAGCCACGGGGCCGGCCCAAGATCCACATATTCTGAGATAAAAAGTTTATATTTGTTATGATTAAGGGAACTGAAGATGTGTGCTAGATACTGTCTATTGAAATTTCATACCATCCCCATCTTTTAATCCCTCCCTATAAGGCAGGGGCTAGAAGCATTTCCCACACTCCCTTGCCAGCCAAGATTCCATTTTGAGAATCCAATGAGAGACAATTACACAGAATTTTAAAGGTGAAAGAGAAGTATAAGTCATTATTCTCCAGGGATAGCTACAGGTAGGTATGTGGTCATCAGCAGACGTGAGGTTCTGCCAGCGGCTTCAGGCATTCTCCTTACAATCATTCACTGTGCTGCTACAAGCATCTTGAGATCAGCAGCAGCAGATTTCTGCAATTCTGTACTTTCTCATTTCAAAGGCTTTAGTGACTTACCTCAACAGGCAAATGTCAAGAACATTTTTTTCTAAATCGGAAAAAACCTAGTGACCAGATTGGGGTTTAAAAGTTTTTTGTTTGTTTTTTTTTTCCCCCCAAACCCCCGGTAGATAGTTGTACATCATAGCTGCACATCCTTCTAGTTCCTGTATGTGGGACGCGGCCTCAGCATGGCCGGAGAAGCGGTGCGTCGGTGCGCGCCCGGGATCCAAACCCGGGCCGCCAGCAGCGGAGCGCGCGCACTTAACCGCTAAGGCACAGGGCTGGCCCTGGGGGTTAAAAGTTTTGAGACCAGGATATGGAGAATGGGAAAGTTGAAAAGGTAAGCCAGTTTAGGGCAGAAGATGCTGAATTTGGATCTAGAAAGAAAGACTCTGGGGCCAGCCTGGTGGCACAAGCGGTTAAGTGCGCACGCTCTGCTGCGGCGGCCCGGGGTTCGCGGTTCGGATCCCGGGCGTGCGCGCACACACTGCTTGGCAAGCCATGCTGTGGCGGCATCCCATATAAAGTGGAGGAAGATGGGCACGGATGTTAGCCCAGGGCCAGTCTTCCTCAGCAAAAAAAAAAAAAAGAGGAGGATTGGCAGATGTTAGCACAAGGCTGATCTCCTCATAAAAAAAAAGAAAGAAAGACTCTGGTGATAACAATAAGGACATCAAAGTAGAACTATTCTGTAATAGCTGAAGTATGGATTGGAACTATACATATATGTATACATAATTCATGTTGGTTGTATGTATGTATTTGAATCAGCTCAAGATGTAATAGCCAAAGAAACAGGGATATACAGGCTGAAAAAATGAAAGAAAAAAAATTTGATGGATCTCAACAGACAAAAGGATGCAAAAACCTGAGGAAGAAATCAGTCAAGAAACTAGAAAAATCTAGTTTTCAGCAGTATTATGGAAAAAAAAAAGAAAAGTCAATATTATCAGGAAATAAGATCAAATTCATTAAATGAAACAAAAGTAACAAGAAGAGTTTTAAGAAAAGCTTGAGTGATCAGGAAAAGAGATACTATCAATTGTCAAGAGAAAAATTAAACCATTATTACATTATCTTCTCATTTCCCTAAACTGGAGACAGCTTTTGCTCCTTTTAAGAAATGGGATAGGGCCGGCCCCGTGGCTTAGCGGTTGAGTGCGTGCGCTCCGCTGCCGGCGGCCCGGGTTCGGATCCCGGGTGCGCACCGAGGCACCACTCCTCCAGCCATGCTGAGGCCGCGTCCCACATACAGCAACTAGAAGGATGTGCAGCTATGACAGACAACTATGTACTGGGGCTTTGGGGGAAAAATAAATAAATAAAATCTTTAAAAAAAAAAAAAAAAAGAAATGGGATAAAGAAAGCAATGGAACTGTTCCACTCTCAGTCCATACCACTAGCAGGAACCACCTATCTGCTGCCACTGGAAATTGGGCGTATGGGAGTACTTTACCCAAAGCTCAGTCAGATCTCCATAGTACACTATATGGGTATTACTTAGGATGGAAAGAAATTCAATGCCTCCCATAACAGAAACAAACACTCTGTTATTCTAGGCAAGCAGAAGGTGATCCAAGGCTGGAAAGAAGGGGAGGTACAAATGAACGTGAGCCAAAAAAGGCAAGGTGACATCTCTTAGGACTCTGCTTTACGTGCTACTGATCTCTTGGGCTGGGATGAAGATTTCAATACAGTCATGCACCGCTTAACAACAGGGATACATTCTGAGAAATGCATCATTAGGCAATTTTGTCATTGTGTGAACATCAAAGAGTGTACTTACACAAACCTAGACGGTATAGCCTAGGCTATATGGTACTA